GTTCTAAGTAGGTGCTTTAGACCACTGAGCCATCTCACCAGCCCCCTCATGCAGTCTTGGGGCAGCTTCTGGAGTTTGTGATTGATTACTGTGGGTGTGGATGCTGCCTCTGCCCTGGGGCAGGGAATTTGCATTACAATGTAAAGTGGGAAGACAGTCTAGCAGCTTGAGTTGCTGCTGCCCTTCCTTGCGCTCTTGCTCTTTGCTGCCATGAAAGCCATGAAAGGTTGCCCTCTGCCTTGGTGCCAGCTGAGTATGGACTGAAACCTCCAGTAACTGTGAGCTAAATAAACCTTTCCTTCCTTCATTTTGAGTGTCGGGTATTTGTCCCAGCAACGAGAGAAGAATACCTAAGACAGGAATGGAATTCAGCACAACCTTGTGCTTGTCAGGTAGGTGCTCATGCCACTGAGCTATATCCCGGGCTTTCTTTTCTTCTCTTTCCTACAGGATCTCACTATATAGCTCAGCTTCATAGTGGTCCTCCCATCTAGTCTCCCCAGTGCTGCGATACAGGCGTGCACCACCATACCAAGGGTCCCAGGGCCAGCATGTCATGTGGTCCCAGGGATCAAACCCCAGCCCTTGCACTTGCCAGGAAGGCACTTAGACTGGTGAGCTATCTTCCCAGCCTTTTTTTTTTTTTGAGACAGTGTTGTTTCACTATGTGGCCCAGACTGGCCTCTAACCTCTGCCAAGCCTTCCTCAGTGCTGGGACACTCATAAATTCTCCTGCCAACCAAATGATCATCTGATGTACTATTTTAGTACTGTTGAGAAGCACTATATAGTTCTAAATAATTATCCAGCATCTCCTACATAAAATGTACAACACAGTGCTATATACACACTTTCAAGGTGGGTGGATGCAATCACACACACAAAAAAGGAAATTAACTATATTTCCACATGCATGTGAAATAACCAGATTGCAAGATGGAACCCAGCAAATCTTCAAAAAGAACACTAAAAAAACACTAAAAAGGGGGCTGGTGAGATGGCTCAGTGGTCTAAAGCACCTACTTGGAACAAGCTTGGCAAAGCACAGGGACCGCGGTTCAATCCCCCAGCACCACATGCCAGCCGGCCACGCCCCCTGGTGGGCTGAGCTGGCCACACACACACACACACACACACACACTAAATAAATAAAATAAAAAATAATTAAAAAAAAAAACAAAACACTAAAAAGCACAGAAGGTTTCTCAGGTTGCTGGTGATAGACCTGCGGTCAAGGAAATAAGGAGGAGGGGACAACGTGTCAAATCAGTGACATTTCAGCTAGACCATGAAGGACAGGTGGAAAGTATTCATGCAGATGAGGCAGAGACAAGGAAAAGGGGTCAAAATAGAAAATACCACAGATGGCCAAAAGTGTTGGAGGTGCATGTGTGCAGAACTTGATAAAAGACAACTAGACAGCAAAAAGCTGTGGCACCTAACCTAAGGAAATAAGGCTTCATAAAGTACGTCGGACCATTAAATATAATAGTCAAGATGGGCAAATTGATCCACACCTTAAAATCCCAGCACTCTGGGAGGCTGACACAAGATGATCCTCCACCTGGCCAACCTAGTAATGTAGACTAACAATAACAACAACAACAAAGAGCTGGGGAAGCAGCTCAATATGAAGAGCTAGAATTCAATCATCTATAACAATCACACAAAACAAAAACAAAAAATACTATGGTCCAGAAAGGACACGCCCTTTCAATCGCCTATATAACACACAAAACAAAAACAAAAAATAGGATGGTCCAGAAAGGAAACGCCCTTACCATTCAGACAGATCCAGGAGTGCTTGGGCCTTGATTATTTTGTTAAACCATTTAAAAACATTTTTGGTGACCCATTCAATGTGAACAGCACAGCTTGCACTATAATCTTTGGAGTTCAATACTTCAATAATAATTCATATTATGTGGAAAAACTCAACTACAATATATAAAACCATTCTGAATTACCACATTTTCCCCCAAAACCTTGCACATTTACCCTGTTTAAAGCACACCACAGCAATGACAAAAAAGTTTTCGCACCAGGCTATGTTGAGCGATCAACTTACCCGTACACCTACTTAATCCTTTAATACTCACAAAGCATCGAGCGATACTGGGCACTGTCACAACTCACGACAGAAATCCTAGTCTGTAGTTTTCAAAAGCCTAGACAATTATCTCCTCAGCTGTCTCACAAATTAACATTCGGGCAACATTCTGGCAGTTTCCAGACCTGTTTTCTTTATAATCGATGACCTGGGAAGCACCTGAACGTTTACAATAACACTAAACCAACCTTTCTGGAGCAGAGGTCTCCATGAGCCTGCAGAAACGTCGGCCACACGTTAGGATGACAATGGTGGCTCCTCTCCAGGCCCAACTATACCACGAGCCTCAGCCACCAACCAACGGCCCCCGCGCCTGCACCTACCCTCAAGTTAGCCCGGAGGCCCAAACTCTTGGCCAAGTTCTGTAGGTCGCTGTATTTCAAGGAGCCTAGCTCCTCCGCAGCGAGGACGGTTGCCATGTTCCAGCACTCCAGACCACACACAGGGGACTGGGACGCTGAGCCGAAGCGCGCAGTTCAAAACTCTGGCGCCACTGGCTGCGTGAATCCAACAGAACTTTATAGTCAGTTTAAAATGAAGAACGCTGCAATTTCATTGGTTAAAAATGACTCAAAGGCGGGGTTTCCAACGCTGACCAATAGAAAGGACAATGTCCTGCCCCCAAGGACTGTGTCTTCCCCGCACCCACCACTTACCCATCACTACGCAGGCGCGGAAAAGAGTGAGGTTTGTCAACGAAAAGACCGCGCGGGAACGCCCATGTTTTATATTGGCCAATGAGAACCTAACAGGGGCGGGGCGGGGCCTGTGCAAGTTTGAACACCCGCGGCAAAAGCCGGAAAAATGGCTGCTCAGCCGCGAAGGCGTTGCGTGCTTTCTAGGACACAGTCCTTGCGCAGCTTTCACCATTCCTCGGAGGAGACGGCCAGTGAGCCAGGCTTGACGACCTCCATGGAGTGGGATACGCAGGTGGTGAAGGGGTCCTCGCCGATCGGCCCCACCGGGCTGAGGGCGGGCGAGCAGCCCACGGGCCCGCGACTGCCGTCGTGGCTGCAGCCCGAGAGGTGCGCGGTGTTCCAGTGCGCTCAGTGCCGGGCTGTGATTGGCGACTCGTTGCACCTCGTCTGGAATCTGTCGCAAACCGTCGGGGCCGTGGTCTTTTCCAGTGAGTGCAGCACCAGGAAGGTGGAGACAGGCCACCTACTGGCGGGCAACTAGCGGAGTGAGGAGACTGAGTTGAGGGTTTGGAAGATGAAACTTTCCAGGGGAAGGCAGGGAAACGTTTTGTTTTTGTTTTTGCTTGTTTTCAGAATCAAGAATCGAAACCTGGGCCTCGCGTACGCCCTTTTTTCTTCATTTTCATTTGCCCGGTGTGCCTGTCTAGGCAGGAGATTTTCTTTTTATTCCTTTTTTTTTTTTTTTTCCTTTTCAAAAGTCTTAGGGCTACATCTTTGACCCCCGTTTGTCCTCCTAGAAGTCACAGAAAACGTCGTGTTGGAAGACTCTTTTCTGGTGGGCATCGAGGGTTTGCTCAAGTGCAGGTACTGTACTTGTCCAGTACTCGGATGGGGCTCTATTCTCTGATTTTATGAATCCTGCAAATGTGGGAAGCAGTTTGTAACAGAAGAAAACTTTATTGCTGACATAAAATGTATTTGAATAATAGGCTGCATCTTTAACCTATTTGACCCCTGTAATTGATTCATTAATGAAACAAAAAGGTAAATTTGTATTCCAGTTTCCCTGAAACTAAGTCCTAAACGGAAAATAATAAGCCTTGAAAACTAAAAATAAAAAATGCTAGCCTTACCTGTTTTACAGAATACCCACTGAGCAAGGTAATGGTAATAGCATCTGAAAATAACCTTTTTAACCCTGAGCTTCCATTGCGCTCAATAGAATGTTTACTTAAGTGGAATTTTGCTTATATAGATGATAAGTAAAGTATATTATTTTTAATTGTTATGGCGGGGCCGGGGAGATGGCTCAGTGTAATAAGCACTTCTCTGGCAAGTGCAAAGTCCTGAGTTCAATCCCAGGTTCTGTCAAAAAAAAAAAAAAAAAAATTGTTATTGCAAATTCAAACACAAAAGAATATTATGAAATTGTACACTATAGCTAAACTAGGATATTTATCAGTTTACGGCAAATCTTATTTCATCTGTAATCATACTTCCCTTCACCCCTGTGTGACCTTGTTCTACAGATGATGAAGTAGAGACTCTGGTGTAGCAAAGTATTTTACTCCGGTTAAATCCTCCAGGGTCCAAGACCCAGTGTACCAAGTGTCAGTGAGCTCAAAATGCTAACCCTTCAGGCTCATGTGAGGCAACCAGAACACCTCAGCCTGGACTGTCAGAGACTCTATGGACGGTGCTAAATTATTTAACAAAGAGGAAAACCTGAGAAGAGACAGACTGGGAATTATTTTTTCTCATCAAGTGTATAGTTCTATAGTCACAGAAGTATTACTGTATTCTTGAAATTTGTCATCTTTTCCTTATCATGTCCTAAAATATTATTGTGTTTGTAAGCATAATGTAATTTCTGGACAGTTTTTCTCTACACTTTACATTAGTTCTTTTTTTTTCTTTTTTTCTTTCTTTGGTCTTTTTGAGACAATCTCATTATGCAGTTCAGGCTGACATTGAACTCACTTTGTAGCCCAGGCTGAACCTTGTACTTGCAGTGATTCTCCTGCCTCAGCCTCCTGAGTGCTGCAATTACAAGCGTCCCCTCACCCCTGTTAGCTCTACATTAGTTTCTATTGAGAAACTTATCCATAGGTACTATGCCTTGAACTAATTAATGTAATGTTATGGCTTGCTTTTTGGTTACCCATAATAAAAAAATATATGAAAAATACAGTACCGGGCTGGGGAGATAGCTTGGTGGTCTAAGCTCCTGCTTGGCAAGCACAGAAACCTGGGTTCGAGCCCTGGTACCACATGCCTTGCCAGCCCCCGGGGGCTGGAGAGGCTGAGACAGGAGGATCACTACTAGTTTGAGCTGCATAGTGAGACCCTGTACCAAATAAAAAAAGAAAACAAAGAAACAAAAATACAGTACTACATATATGGTGTGAGATTTCATTTACCAATAAATTCAGTGTGTTTTTTTCTTATTCCTTTTTAATATCCAGGGACATGAATGTGTTTCTTGTAAGCTGTGTGGTTTTTATAGTTTTTAGTTTAGTTTTATTTTTTAAATAGTACCAAAGATTGAACCTGCTCTTTTTGATATTTTGAGACAGGATCTCACTAATTAGCCCCAGCTGGTCTTGAATGCATTCTGTAGCACAGGCCAGCTTTGATTTTATGGCAGCCCCAGAGCTCTTCCTTTTTTTAAGTTTGTATTCTCCTGTGTGTGGGGGGGGGTCACTAAATCCCTGAGTTGCCCAGGTGGGGCTTGAAATTGTTGTCCTCCTGCCTCAGCTTCCGTCCGAGTCCTCCTTCCCATATTACATGCATACACCACCATGCATGACAGGTACTTTTATTGGTAGAATTTTACTGTATAGTATATATTTATATAAATAAATTTTCCCCATGTCAAATCACTTCAAAATTGTTTTCAGAGCTAGGAATGGTGGCAAATGCCTGTAATTTCATCACTCTGAAGACTAAGGAAAAGGACTACCAACTTTGAGTGCCATCTAGGCAACTTAGTGATACATAATCTTTTATTATTTAATAATTAGTAAATATTAACAAATATAAATAATATTAACAAATACATATTAACAAATAAATAATATTTGGGAGATATAGCTCAGTGTGAAGGCCTTGAACTTGGTCTGCCCCTCCCTAAACACTTCAGTACATGAATGGTAAAATAGTTTTTCTTTTTGAGAAAGGTTCTCACTAAATAGTTTAGGCTGGCCTTAAGCTCATGGAGATCCTCCTGCCTCAGGTGGCTGAGTGCTGAAATTACAGGCATGTGCCACCACACCTAGCTTTGGAACAGTTTTTCTTTTTTCTTTTCTTTTTTTTTTTTTTTTTTATGGAACCAGGGATTGAACTCAGACCCTTGCGCTTGCCAAGCAAGCGCTTATTCTACTGAGCCATCTCCCTGGCCCCTGGAACAGTTTTTCTTAAAATACTGTTTTGTAATATATTTTTTAAATTTTTAAAAATCTTTTTATTTACTTATTTATTTAGTGCAGGGTCTCACTGTGCAGCTTGGACTTGTAGTGATCCTCCTGTTTTAGCCTTTCCAGCTCTGGGATTACAGATGTGCACTGCTATGCCCGGTTTTTGTGGAACGCATGGCATGTGGTACTGGGAATTAAACCCTGGTTCTTTCGCTTGACAGGCAGGCACCTATACTACTGAGCTATCTCCCCAGCCCTGCTCTTAAAATTTTGATATGCCATATATATGTGGAATGTGATGTGTTTTGCGTAAGTTGTACAAGAACTAAAATCAACATTTGATTCATCTTTCAGTAATCTTTTTAGATGATAAAATAGATTACTTTCTTTTTTTTTTTTTTTTTTGGCAGAACTGGGGATTGAACTCAGGCCCTTGTGCTTGCCAGGGAAGTGCTTATTCCACCGAGCCATCTCCTTAGCTCTATAAATTTTCCTAGGGTAATGGGATTCCTTTTTCCTTTCTTTTCATTTAGTATTTGCACGGGGTATTTTTTCAGTTAATTTTTAAAATATGCCAGTTGAGGTGGTGCATACCTGTAATCCCATACTTGGGAGACTGAGGCAGGAAGATTGCTTTGAGGTCAAGACTAGTCTGGGTTACAGAGTGAGTTCAAGAGTGGTCTGGCCATAATGAAATCCTGTCTCAAAAAACCAAAAAAGGCACTGAGGAGATAGCTCAGTCTAAGTGTCTGCCTGACAAGCACAAGGACCTGGGTTCAATCCCCTGCATGCCATGCAGGCCCCAGAACTGGGTGTAGTGGTGTATGCCTATAATCCCAGAGCTGAGGAGGCTGAAACAGGAGGATTACTACGAGTCTGACTTGCATAGACACCCTGTAGACCTTGTACCAAATGCATAAAATTAAAAAATTAAAAACAAATTTTTTAATATCTGCAAAACAAATACAGATTTGAGTTCTATCAATAAATTTATTATTTTAATGTATTTATTACAGGGTCCAAAGAGTCTCACTTCACAGATCAGACTCCTGGTGATCCTTCTGTTTTCAGCCTCCCAAGTGCTGGGATTAGAGGTGCAAACCACCACACCCAGTCTCAGTGGACCCTGAGGGCAGGACTGGCACTGCACACCAGGGGTCGGTGCATCTGCCTAAGCAGGTACTTTAATCCCTTAAGCTATCTGGCTGTCCCTATCAGTAAATTACTGTGTCACAGCCTCACAGTCAACTTAATTATTTTGCATCAACTAAATTGAGATGATAGTGATTTAAGCATAATTTGTTTAAAATTTTTTAATGTTAGGGCTGGTGAGATGGCTCAGTGGTCTAAAGCACCTACTTAGAACAAGCTTAGCAAAGCACAGGGACCGCGGTTCAATCCCCCAGCACCACATGCCAGCCAGCCCCGCCCCCTGGTGGGCTGAGCTGGACACACACACACACACACACACACACACACACACACACACATAAATAAATAAAATTTTTTAAAAAATTAAAATAAAATAAAATTTTTTAATGTTAGTCTGATTAATTAGCGTGTTTTCTGCTTTTCAGAGATAAATGACTTAAATGACAGTTGTACATCTGTGATTCCTTTTACGGCCACACTTCATGAAGGTTCCTATAATTTAAAGTATAATATTAAAACCTAAGCTAATCTATATAGCATTACTTTATTTTCTTTTGTTAGTTTTTTTCTTGTATTTTAGGTGACAATACTTCTATAAATGGTTACTTTTTATTTGTTCTCTGATTTTCTTTCTTACCCTTTTTCTGCTTCCCCCTCAGCACTTACAACCAGTTATTCTGCAGTTCCTGTGGGATTCTCATTGGTTTCCATCTGTATTCCACGCATACGGCATTGGCTGCGCTGAGAGGTCATTTCTGTCTTTACAGTGATAAAATGAGTTGGTGAGTAGTCACAGATATTATCAAATATGATTTAGAAGATCTTTACGAAAGGACAAAGTATATGTACCAAAGAAAATGCTAGCTGGTGCATGCCTGCAATCCCAGCACTTAGGAGGCTGAGGCAGGAGAATTGCCAGGAGTTTGAGGCCTGCTTGAGCTACATAGTGAGTGCAGGTGGGCCTAAACTACAAAGTGAGGCCCTGTCTAAAAAGAAAGAAAATGCTAAAGCCAGATTTTTTTTTTTTTTTTGGAGGAACCGGGGATTGAACTCAGGCCCTTGCTCTTGCCAGGCAAGCACTTACTCTACTGAGCCATCTCCCCAGCCCTTAGATGTTTTATTTTACAAGAGAACTAACTAGATTCAGAATCTGGTCTCAATGTTACATCATTTTCAGTGTCTTCTAATCACTGTTAATATCTGTAGCGTGGAATACTTCAGAGGGAAGTTCATTAAAGAATATTCTGGAAGGTAAGCTTTTATGAAATGATGTTGCCACAGACACCTTTTTTGTTTATGCCTTGGTCTGTCCCTGACCTTGTGTCTGTGGGGTGGTGTGCCTGACACCGCATAGAGTAACTTGAGCTAGGCCAAGCAGATTTTCCACTGTAGGAATTTGAAATAAGGACCTAGAGATGCCGGTCATTTGTAGATGGTAGTGGCTAGAACTATGTCACAGGGTCACCTGAAGCTGAGAGGAAAGTATGTGGCCATAAGTCACAGTTGGCTTTGAAGTTCCGGTTCTTTTTTGTTGTTTTGAACAATTATGATCCAGCACTTAGGACTGGGCACACACCTACTGCAGACCATCTGGATTGCGATAGTAAGAAAGGAACTGATGTTGGCTCAGCAACCAACATGATTGTCACATTTTTTCAAACTGTGCCACAGGATCAACTGATGAAGTGAAGCTTATGCTCATCATAATTAAATAATCGGGCTGGTGAGATGGCTCAGTGGTCTAAAGCACCTACTTAGAACAAGCTTAGCAAAGCACAGGGACTGCGGTTCAATCCCCCAGCACCACATGCCAGCCAGTCCCGCCCCCTGGTGGGCTGAGCTGGACACACACACACACACACACACACACACACACACACATAAATAAAATAAATAATCATATAATCTTGTTTTAGTCTTCATTTTGTCTTGGGATAATTTTATCTTTGGGAAGGAGTATAGCATGAGACACAGAGTATCTCAGATTTATCAGTTTGTTTTTCAAAAAAAAATACATCGTGAATCTTAAAAAATATAACTCAGTAAAAAAGTACAATTTGCTTGTCAAATGTGTGTTTTAGAGGGTAAGCTGGGTTCATTGAGAGTTAACTGTGGTGAGGTATCAATATTTTGCTTTCTGTCCAGCTATCTCCTTAAAACAAAAGCCATAGTACGTGCATCTGAGATGGATATTCAGGGTGAACCTCTACTAGAAAAGATAACAGAGGTAAGATTCCTGGTGATTGCCTGGCTCCTTTAATAGTCTTAGTGAGTTTTCCAAATGAATTCGAAGAGGAAATCTGATAGATGCTGTGATGATTCATTATATTTGGACTGGTGAAACTTAGAATTTATAGCATGTAACAAAATATCCAAGCCATATTATGAGGTGTAGTTCCAGAGGAGGGAAAGAGACTCAATACAACACTCTTTTTTGTTTTTTTTTTCCTGTGTTTTGAGGGTCTTGTTATACAGTTCAGACTGGCCTTAAACTCACCGTGTAGCCCAGGTTGGCCTTTAACTTATGGTGATCCTCTGCCCCAGCCTTCTTGAGTCCTGGGATTACAAGAGTGTACCACCATGCCTGGCTAATATAACATTCTTATATGTTCATTTATGCTAAGAATAAACATCATTTTCCTGCAAGGAGCTGCCATTCCCATCACAATCACCACCACAACCTTTGGTAGTACTAAGGATTAAACCCAGGGCCATCACATTGAACTCTAGTTTTTATTTTGAGGTGGACTCTCATTAAGACATTAAGTTGTCTGGACTGGTCTCAAATTTGCCATTCTCCTGCCTCACTCTCCCAAGAGTGCTGGGATTATAGGTGTGTGCTATTTAGCATCTTGTCCTTTTCTGAGGATTAGAAGTCAAACCCCTTTACATGCTAAGCAAGTGCTCTACCATTGAGCTACATTCCCAGTCCTTCTATATTTTGAGATAGGCTCTTGCCCAAGCTCGTCTCAAACTTGGGATCTTTCATTTTTTTTTAATTTATTTTTTCATTTTAAATTGGACACATAGGGGCTGGAGAGATGGCTCAGTGGTCTAAAGCACCTACTTAGAACAAGCTTAGCAAAAGCATCAGGGACCGCGGTTCAAT